TGATCCCAGGACCCCGGGGTCACGACCTGAGACAAAGGCAGATGCTCAACCACTGAGCCATCCAGGTGACCAGAGACAAATTTTTATAGACATCGTTAACTTCTAGAATATAAAGACCAGGACACATAATGGAATCCCCCTCACTGGTGACAGAGAATGTGATGTCTTTATTAAATGTGTATTTTGGTATGGTTTGAGCAAAGAGAATATAAACTCGGTAATCTGTACCTTTTTCTAAGTCCAACCTGTGATCCTATGAAGTGCAGTGATTGTGCAGTGATTCACAGAGTGTCATCCCTTGGACCAGTAGCATGCGTATCATCTGGGACTTGTTAGAAATGCAAATTTTGGAGTCTCAGCCTTACCCTACTGAGTCAGAAACTGAAAGTGGGCCCAGAGATCTGTCTAACAAGGTTTCCAGGTCATTCTTATTTAAGAACAACTGTCATAGGGATCCCTGGGTGGCGCAGTGGTTTGGCGCCTGCCTTTGGCCCAGAGCGCGATCCTGGAGACCCGGGATCGAATCCCACGTCGGGCTCCCGGTGCATGGAGCCTGCTTCTCCCTCTGCCTGTGTCTCTGCCTCTCTCTCTCTCTCTCTCTCTCTCTCTCTCTCTGTGACTATCATAAATAAAAATAAATAAAAATTAAAAAAAAAAAAGAACAACTGTCATAGATGACCTGTAAAAGTTCCTTTCGGTACTGTCATTTTCCTGAATTGCGCTGAACAGATGGCACTCACACTGGGTACAGATGACTTCTTTCTAAATAACTTGAAACAGAAAATAGGGCCAGGACAACTGGCATTTTATTAAGTTATTATCTTTCAGATTGTTTTCACCTTCAAGATCCTACGTATATGTGAGACTAGAAAAATCTGTTCCCATTAAGTTTATTTTTCTGTGCTACTAACAGTCTTGAGACCACCATTTAGACTGAAGTTAACTCAAGAAGCCCTGATGACTATCCTGCTGGTAATATGCCTAGAGGATACTCTTCCCATCCCTTTTATCATTCCTACAAATATTCCTATACATAGTTAGCAATTATTTGGTCTGGCAATTCTCTATTTGCCATGGTCTGACTGTGCACTAATTTTAGAAAACAAATCACAAAAGGGAAGTCTGAAGGTCTTTGAAAACGCTGCTGCAGGGGCGCCAAGGTGGCTCAGTCTCAGTTTAGCATCTGCCTTCAGCTCAGGTCGTGATCATGGGGTCCTGAGATGGAGCCCCCAAGTCAGTCTCTCTGCTCAGCAGCGAGCCTGCTTCTCCCTCTCTCTCTAACCCTACCCCTGTTCTCTCTCTCTCTCTCTCTCACTCTTTCAAATAAATAAAATCTTTTTAAAAAAAAGAAAAGAAAGTGCTATGATGTTCTTTATCCATTGGATTTCCTGGAGTGATGCTTATTGTTGGCTTAAATGATAGCAGGTAGTAAGTGCAGGTGGCTAGTTGAAAATATAGCTCAGTCGTGCTACAGGCTTGTGTTTCAATCAACACTTTGATCTGTAAAACACCCTGCAATGCACAGTGGGGAATATGATATAGAAATATGTAAGGCAAAAAAAAAAAAAAAAAAAGGAAACATGTAAGGCATCATCTTTCTCTCATAGGAATTTGTAAAATGGTAAAGGAAATGAAATATGTGCATAGCAAATAAATATGATGCACATTGAGTGTCCTGAGAGCGGACCCCAGTGCCACAGGATTTCAAAGAAGATAGAGATTTCTTTATACGTGGGTGATCGATGAAGGCTTCGTGAAGTGGCATTTCAGCTGAGTCTTGAATATTTTTGAAAGGTAGGGATGTGAGTGTGTGCGCACTGCAATCCATGTTTGAGCATGAAGAAGGTGGAGCCAAGAACCAGCAGGGGACCATTTATGTCCCTAGTACCTAGACCAGTGACTGGCACACAGTAGATGTTCGGGAAATATCATGTATTCCGACCCATAAACAAACCATTAAGTGATGTGTCAAGTTTTGTGTTTTTTTTTTTCCCCCTTTGGAAAAAAGACCAAGGAAAAAGAAATAACTATATAAAATGTAAAAATCAGAAGACACATGCTGATTTCAAAAGCATTAAGATGGGAGAGCAAAGTGCTTTTTTGAGTCTTGAAAACACGGTATTTGGTGAATTTGAGTGGAGCAGAACTTTTGAGGACTACATTAGAGGTATTTACATAGCTGGAAAGGTAGATACAACCAGATTGGGTACGGCCCTGGATTCCAGGCTAACGACACTTTTAACAGAGCTGCCGAAGGATTTTTGAGCAGGTAATCTGCGTGTGGGGAAAAGAATAGTTAGGGGCACCTGAGTGGCTCAGTTGGTTAAGTGTCTGCCTTCCGCTCAGGTCATGATGGGCGGTCCTGGGATCCAGCCCTGCACTGGGCTCCCTGCTCAGCAAGGTGTCTGCTTGCTTGTCTCCCCCTGCCCCTCCCACCTTGTGCACACTCTCTCTGAAATAAATATTTAAAAAAATATATTAGAATTAGTGAGAAAATTAATACTGCTTCTGATGAGCAACCACAGAGAACCAGAATGCATTGAACATTCCACGATGACAAGGGATATGCTAATTGGTTTTGCCCGTTATTTAAGCCAGCAACCTTGGACAGACCTCATTCATGCCATCTTTTGGTGGAGGAACCCTCGCCTAGAGAGGATCAGAAACTTTCCCAACGTGCTGCTAGTGGATTGTAACATCGTGTGCTATTCAATGAAAAGCTGAAAAGTGTGAAGCTGGAGACCAAGCAGGAGGACTGTGAGATGTTCGGCTCGGGGAGATCCTGTCTGCGTAGCTCCTTCCCCCAGACCAGCGGGCCCTTCCTGGGCCCAGCCCCAGAGCCCAGGACGCGGTGCTCGGGATCTAGTGCACCCCACGGAACTTCCTTGCCTTCTGGCTTCCAGGAGAGCTTGGCCAACGGGAGGCACTGGCGAGAGACCAAAGGGATGAAGGAGAATGGAGCTGAGGTGTCCTGCCGGCTCCCAATCCTGGGATCTGGCTGGGTCAGGCCCCACTCCCCGGTCACAACTCCGGGCCAAGAGCACTTGAGAAAACACAGCTTGCAGTGCGTCCTCAGGCTGGCAGGTGTTCGCATCTCTTTCAAGGGGCCAGGAGCTGGCCCGGCCAGCGGCGACGCGCTGCTCTGAAGCAGGACCCTTCTTGGCAGACGCCGCCGGGAGATTGATCAGCGTGGAGAACCCACGTATCAAACCACAGCTCGAGGAGCCCACAGTCTCTCCCCCCTGGGTTTCTCCTGTGTTTCCCAGTCTTTGTTTTTAGGGGGCTGAGAAACTGATGATGCCTTGAACCTGGCATAGCTTAGCAGGTCTCCCTTGCGTTGCTCAAGGTCCAGGTAACTTCTTCCTTTCACAGAAGTTGAATCCTGGCTCCTTCCCTGCCCTTCCCTGCGGCAGGAGGTGCCAAAAGATAAAAGATAGAGGGATGGAGCTGAGTCTCTGGCCTTGGCCCTTTCTCGCACAAACATCTAAGCCCGCTAAGTTATTTGGGCATTTGATGGCTTTCGTTTAAAGCTAAATAAAGATGCATATTTTACCTAGGAACTTAACACATTTGATTCATAAGCTTGTTATCTATGTTATCATGAACTTGTTATCTTTGTAAGGAACCGCTTGCAGCTGTGTGTCCTGTAGCAAGTCGCTCCATCTCACAATGGCTCTTTTTTCGGTGTTTTTTTTTTTTTTTTTTAAGATAAAACGAAAGCCTGTTAGAACTATTGTTACTTTGCCTTTAAAGATTTGGGATGTGGGCAGCCCCGGTGGCCAGGGGTTTAGCGCCGCCTTCAGCCCAGGGTGTGATCCTGGAGACCGGGATCGAGTCCCGGATCCAGTCCCCGCAGGCAGCCTGCTTCTCCCTCTGCCTGGGTCTCTCCCTCTCTCTCTGTCTCTCATGGATAAATAAATAAAATCCTAAAAAAAAAAAATTGGGATGTTGTGAGGATTTACTGGGGTAATATATGCAAACCACTTAGCCCAGGGTCTGGCACAGAGGTCACAGCTGCAGGAAGATGAAACGCAGATCCTGAGCCCCGCCACGGGCTGGACACCGCAGAGCTTGCCCGTAGTTTATGGCATTTAACTACCAGCGCCCGACTCAGGAGGTGGGAGATGCTCGGTGCGGAGCCCCGGAAGGGGACCCCCGAAGGCCCGGCGAGCTGCGGGCACCAAGAGACGGGGGCCACGTGGGGGCCGGGGCGTAGGGGGCCGGGGATCGGGGGCGCGCGTGCAGGGGGCGGGGTCCGGGGCGCGCGTGAGGGGGCGCAGGAGGCGGGGTCGGGGCTCAGGAGGCGGGGTCGGGGGCGCAGGGGGCGGGGTCGGGGGCGCGCGTGCAGGGGGCGGGGTCGGGGGCGCGCGTGCAGGGGCGCAGGGGGCGGGGTCGGGGGCGCGCGTGCAGGGGGCGGGGTCCGGGGCGCGCGTGCAGGGGCGCAGGGGGCGGGGTCGGGGGCTCAGGAGGCGGGGTCGGGGGCGCAGGGGGCGGGGTCGGGGCGCAGGGGCGGGGTCGGCGGCGCAGGGGGCGGGTCTGGGGCGCGCGTGCAGGGGCGCAGGGGGCGGGGTCCGGGGCGCGCGTGAGGGGGCGCAGGGGGCGGGGTCGGGGGCTCAGGAGGCGGGTCGGGGCGCAGGGGGCGGGGTCCGGGGCGCGCGTGAGGGGGCGCAGGAGGCGGGGTCGGGGCTCAGGAGGCGGGGTCGGGGCGCAGGGGGCGGGGTCGGGGCGCAGGGGCGGGTCGGGGGCGCAGGGGGCGGGTCTGGGGCGCGCGTGCAGGGGCGCAGGGGGCGGGGTCGGGGGCGCAGGGGGCGGGTCTGGGGCGCGCGTGCAGGGGCGCAGGGGGCGGGGTCCGGGGCGCGCGTGCGGGGGCGCAGGGGGCGGGGTCGGGGCGCGGGGGCGTGGTCCGGGCGCGCGTGCGGGGACGCGGAGGCGCGGGGGCGCAGGGGCGCAGGGGGTCGCGTGGGGTCGCGGCGCTGGGGGTGCGCGCAGCAGGCGTCTCCATGAGGCCCAAGCGCGGGAACGTGCTGGTCGCGCTGGCCGCCGTCCTGCTCTTCAGCTTCTCCTGCTTCTGCATCTCCAGGCTGACCCAGACCAGTAAGCCGCGGGACGCCCCCCTCCCCGCCGCCTCCCCGGAGGGGCCGGAGGCAGCGCCCACGCCGTGGCCCGGCGGGCGGTTGGGCCGTAACGGGCGCCCCGGGAGCTCGCCCCCCCCCCACCCCGGGGCTGTGCCGCGCGCGGGGCCCCGGAGCGCGTGCCGGGCCGCCGCCTGCCGCCGCTTGCAGCCACGTGACGGTCCGGCCCGGGCTCGGCTGGCGAGGCCGGCCCCCCCCCCGTGCCCCACGGGCGTACGGAGCCGTGGCAGGGCCCCGCGTGGCCCCCGCGTGGCTCGGGCGCGGCCCGCACGGCCGAGCTGGGGGCGCGTTGGCGCAGCGCGTGGGGCCGCGACCCGCCCCCCCCCCGCCCCCCCGGAGCACCCCAGGCCTGACTTCCCTGTGTCCTGAGGGTTCCCGGTTTAGCAGAGAAGAGTAGAGCTTGCCGGGGAGGTTTGAACTTTAGAGAAACCGTGAGTAAGCTTTTAGGGTGAAGGTGGCCCAAGGTGTATTTATATTCCGGCATGTATCGTCTCTCTCAAATTCGAATTTAACTAGATTTCCTTTTCTTTTTTCTTTTTCTTTCTTTTCTTTTCTTTTCTTTTTGTTTCCAGCTCTACTCTCCCAACCTTAGCTGTAACATTTTAGGGTCCAAGTACTTGGATTTTGAATTTGAGCTCAGGAATCCCATAAGTCTATTAAGCCACGGCCTTTTTTTTTTTTTTTTTAATTTTTTTTTTTTAAATTTATTTATGATAGTCACACACACACACACAGAGAAAGAGAGAGGCAGAGACACAGGCAGAGGGAGAAGCAGGCTCCATGCACCGGGAGCCCGACGTGGGATTCGATCCCGGGTCTCCAGGATCGCGCCCTGGGCCAAGGGCAGGCGCCAAACCCCTGCGCCACCCAGGGATCCCAAGCCACGGCCTTTTGAGATTGCCACTAGGCTGTTTTAGGCCACATTTTCATTCTGATTAAACACATATATGACCCAGGGTTCAACAAAGCAACCTTGGGGGTAGTGTCAAGGATCAAGTTTGGAAGTGGCTTTCGTCCTCTTAATCAATACTAAATTTTGTCTTGCATACATAATACCGACATTCTACTCCGTTTGTTTCAAAGGTTTGGGAATGCATATTGACTTATCTGATTTGTACTATTGATATCTGATCATTTAATACACTTTTCCTCTTCTTCGTTTTCCATAAGGAGCATTATCCCAATGCGTTTTCATATTTTCGGACGGTGAACAATTAGCACTTTTATAACAAAAAATAGATCGTTACTTGTAATCAGTGAAGTATAAACTTCCTTTTATAGTAATTTTGGAAGGCAGTTTCCATTGGTAACCTCAGAAGGCATTTTAATATAGCTAATATTTGTTACATGTTATAAACTGTGAACTTTGTTTTATGACCAGGAGAAAGAAGTTTAGTCCCTCAAGGCACTTCTGTTCCCATCATTCATATGTTCAGATTCAGAATATGAGCTACTATTCTTGAAAATGCGCCACTCTTAGAAGAGCAGATGAAACAGGTTTCTTGTGTTTTATGTTTCTGTGTGACCTAGCTCTAAAACAGTTACAAAATCAGTCCTAGTACAAAATCAATCCTGAGATGTTCTTCTGTCAACAAAACAAAACAGACTTCATTTAGTTTTGGAAGCAGCAATTTTTATAAGACACCGAAGATAATCCCAGTGGTTTTTAAAATTTAATCCATAGTTGTGATTCTTATCAATGAAAACTTGGGAATATTCATTATGAAGATAGCCAGGGAGTGCCTGGGTGGCTCCGTTGGTTAAATGTCCAGCTCTTGATCTCAGGTCGGGTTTGATTTCAGGGTAGTGGGTTCAAGCCCCACACTGGGCTCTATGCTGGGCATGGAGTCTACTTATATATATAAAAAAAAGTTGGTCACAACTTAGTGCTTTTATTCTTTCCCCTTTTAGATTTTTATGTGCATATAACCTTTTGTTTGTTTCTCTATGCTCATAGTATTAACAGTTCAGTAATTTGCTCGATAAATATGTAAACTCTATGAGGAGAAGAATTTTTTTTTTCTTTCTTTGCCTGTTTTGTTCACTGCTGTGTACCCAGCATCAGGAAAAATGCCTGGTATATAATAGGTATGTTAAGTATTTGATGAACGGTTGTTGAATAAATGAGTGAATTAATGAATTCAACAAATACTTCCTCATGTTGTAGGAACTAGGCAACAAAATATCTTTTTTTTGGCACAAAATATTTGTAAGCCCTCACTTTCAAGGAGTTTATATTCTCATTAAGGGAAGAAAACAACAAACAGGAATGATATTGCTCTATGATGTCACATATTGACAGGGGAGAGAAAGTGCTGTTTTAGATAGGGTGGTTAAGGAAAGTCATATTAATACTTATTCCTGAATGAATGAAGTAGGGGAGACTGTTGTGTGGATATGTGGGGGAAGAGTTTTCCAGGCAATGAGAAAAGCAGGTGCAAAGGGCCTATAGTGCGATCAGCTTGATATGTCTGAGAAACAGCTAAGAGGCTAACGTGAGCAAGAAGTGTAGACGGTAAGATTATGGAGACCATAGTGAGAACTATGACTTTTATTCTGAGTAAAATAGGAAGCCATATACAATAGGAAACATGGTCAACACCACTAATCATCAGGGAACCACAAATCAAAACCCAAGGAGATACCACCTCATACCTCTTAGAATGGCTATTTTTATTTTATTTTTTTTAAAAGATTTTATTTATTTATTCCTGAGAGACACAGAGAAAGAGAGGCAGAGACACAGGCAGAGGGAGAAGCAGGCTCCATGCAGGGAGCCCGATGTGGGACTAGATCCCGGGTCTCCAGGATCAGGCCCTGGGCTGACGGCGGCACTAAACTGCTGAGCCACCCGGGCTGCCCTAGAATGGCTATTTTTTTTTTAAGATTTTTTTTATTCATTCATAGAGACACACAGAGAGAGGCGCAGAGACACAGGCAGAGGGAGAAGCAGGCTCCACGCAGGGAGCCCGATGTGGGACCCCATCCCCGGTCTCCAGGATCACACCCCAGGCTGCAGGCGGCGCCAAACCGCTGAGCCACCCGAGCTGCCCTAGAATGGCTATTTTTAAAAAGAGAAGAAATAGGGAGTGTTAGTGAGGATGTGGAGAAGAAAATCCTTCACGCACTCTTGGTGGGCATGTAAATTGGTGCAGCCACCGGAAAACAGCATGGAGCTTCCTCAAAAAATTGAAGATGCTACTGCTCATCTAACCCAGCAGTTCCATTTTTGGGCATTTATATAAGAAAATGAAAACACTAGCTTGAAAAGGTATCTGTTCTCCCATGTTTATTGCAGCATTATTTGTGATAGCCAAGCTACAGAAGCAACCTAAGTGTTCTTCAGTGGATGAATGGATAAAGAAGTTATATATATTCTATTATCATGAACTATTATTCTTTCAATAGCAGGTGTAGCTCTGAGTCAGCAGAGTCCAGGATGCAAGTGTGGGCCATTCTAGACAATAATGGAAATGTCTTGTGGAATTTAAAACATATCTACAAAAAAAATTAAAAAAAAATATAACAAAAAACATATCTACAACAATGTATAACAATTATAAGATAAAATAAAAGAGGGGTAAATGTAGTTAAATGGTACTAAACTTGTAGCACTGTTGAAAAGTGAGAATGTGAGAATTTGTATTAGACTGTAATAAGTCAAGGTTCACACTGAAATCTCTAATCTATTAAAATGATAGTAAAATAATGCATAACAATATCACTCATTATAGTTAATGCTTCAAAAAGAATTTTGGCGGGATATAAAAACAAAACCAAACTTGATGATGTTTGCAAGAGATACATTTAAATTGTAAAGATAGAGAAATGGGCACGGTGATCCTGCAGACCGGGATCGGTCCCGCGTCGGGCTTCCTGTATGGACCCTGCTTCTCCCTCTGCCTGTGTCTCTGCCTCTCTCTCTTTCTATGTCTCTCATGAATAAATAAATAAAATCTTAAAAAAAAAAATAAAGATAGAGAAATGTTTGAAGAGGGATGAAGAAGTATATACCAGCAACGTGAACCAAAAAGGAAGTTGGTAGAGCTATATTAATATCAGCAAAATTGACCCTAAGGCCAAGTGCAACATAAATGCTGAGTAAACACGGAGGAACCTCATTAGCAATCAAAGAAATGCAAATAGCATCTCATACCATTCAGATTTTTTGAATTAAGAGATAAGACATTTGGTAAGGATATGGAAGTGCAGGAATTTGCACACACTCCTCTTGCGAGTGGGGAGTAGATACTCAATCATTTTCATTATGTGATGTGCATTTCTTGTGTCCTAGCAATTCTCCTGCAAGTCAAGACTGAAACGGGTATGCGGCCTTACCCGGTGGTTTATGGCCAGTTCCTCTTGTCACTGATCAATACCCCATGCCATGTAGATTGTTCAGTATTTAAAATAACATCCCTACCACCAGATATATCCAAGGCAAACTCTTGAACGTATTGACCTGGAAGATTCTTGGTAGCACTTTTTATAATTGTTCATCAAAACAGTAGAAGAGCTAAATGTGTTGCCGTATATTCAAAAAATTGTTCAGTGGAACAATTAACAGGAGTGGAAATGAATGGCCTAGAGTTGACTTACCCGTGTGGATGGGGTTGCCAAAATGTAAGTTAAGCAAAAGAAGCAAGTACAGAAGAATACATACAAGTATTACTTTATTTATTAATAGCTAAAAACAAATGTGAGTCAGCTTGCACAAGTGGTAAAACTTGAGAGAAAAGCAATGGATGATTAATACAAAATTCAGACTTCTGCTTACCTGAGAGTGAGGAGGAAGGGGAACATGATCTTGGAAGGAAATAGATGGAATATTTAAGGCTAAGGTAGCAGTGGGTACATGGATGTTTGTTCTTGTTATCGTCTTTCAAACTAGCTTATATATGCTTTGCGATGTCTGAAATATTTCATCATAAAACCTAATGGGGACCACTCAAAGGGCGTTCAGAGGGCGTGGTTCGTAGTGTGATTTGATTATTGCAGAGCATGCGTGGAGTGGAGAAATCCAAGATATATTTCACCTTGTTAGCTTCATCAACCACCTGCCCAAATAGTGGTTCTTTGGAACCACATGGGTACAAATAAATGAAGAATAAATTTGAAGTGGTCTGGTGATACTTCAACTTCATGCTGTTCATT